AGAGACACCGACACACACACACACACACACACACAGAGACAGACACGCACACACACACAGAGACACAGACACTCTCACACACACACTCACAGAGACACACACACTCACAGACACACACACACACACACACACACACTCACAGAGACACACACACTCACTCACACACACACATGAAATGAAATTAAATGAAATTAAAAATTAATTTAAGCACTAATAAGAAGAAAGTCTCTCATTTTTAATAAGTGCATAATGCCAAAGGTCTTTAAACAACGTCTGCCTCCATGGAATGACTTTCAGCAGATATATGCATTTAAAATTTCTCAACATGGACAGAAAATATGAATGAAATGATCTGTAACTAAGAATGTATTTTCCCTGATACCACCAGCCATCATCTATCAATAACAGTTCATGGCTGTGATGGCAAATAAAGGCTGCTGGCTATTTTAAAAAAGCACATGCTTTGCGATGTGTCCCATCTCAACTGTCAATTAAACAATATCCAATGAGTGTGAATGGAAAGCTGCTAACTGCTGTGCAATATGAAATACATCAGCACAGGAATGAATGTTGTGTTCTTTTCATGAGGTTTTTGTGCTGTGAATAATGATTGTGTTTTGCAGTGCTTTGGTTTGCTGGGGATCAATGGTGCAGGTAAAACTACGACTTTTAAAATGCTGACGGGAGACAACAGCCCGACGGCCGGAGACGCTTTCCTGAACGGATACAGGTGAGTCTCTCCGTACATCGCATCTCTCTGGAAAATCACTGCTGTTACACGTCTAGTCATCTTGATGTTGATGTTGTTGTTTCCACTATTGTTCAGCGAAAGGATGCACTTAATCTTCTTGTGTTTATTTTCAACCTCGGGAGGTTAAACTAAATATTACTGTACATGAGCTGTTTTATTTTATATTAATTTCTGAGGAGTTTACCTAAATTTTGCATTAAGCGAATACAATAAATTTAATGAATAATTTAAAAATACATCAGAATGATACATTTTCATACAATTAAAGAAACAATCTTTCTTTGATCATTCTTACAATAAACTAGAGTAACAGGGTTGAATAGTTGAGTTGAATGCAGTGAACAGAACCGTATTTGTAAGAATTGGAATGGAATTAAATTATTATAATATAATTATATATTCCACAATGTGGAAGGAATCTGATTTTAAGCAATGTTACTTTTTTGTTGTAATTCCATGCAGTAAAAGGGTTGCACACAAAATTGAAAAAATATTTCATTTCCCAAAAATATATATTTTTGATCATTTATTTATTCCAGTGATCTTGGGTTACAGGGTTGAATGTTTGCGCTTGATGAATGCAGTCAACTAAACAATATTTGTAAGAATGAAATTAAATTATTATAATATAAAAATAAATTATTATTGCAACAATGTAGAATTAATCTAATTTTAAGCAATGCTACTGTTTTGTTGTTGTTTATAATTGTCTTATTTTCTGTAATGCCATGTGGTAACAGGGTTGCACACACAAGCTAATAAAGCTTAATATTTAACTAAATTTAAATTAGTTAATACTTAAAATAGTTTTAATGCAATAAACTGAATATCAATTTGACGGATAATTTAAAAAAGTTTACATTTGATTTTTATTTGTATTTTTTTTTTTCAAAAATATATTTTTTTCCATAAATTAAAGGGAAATATCTTTAATATTCCTCGAAATTAAGAAAACATTTTTTCTTTCATTATTTATTTCTTACAATAAACAGGGTTGAATGGTTGAGCTAAATAATAAAAATTGTTTTTAATGCAATTAGATAATTTTAAAAAATACATATTTCGTTTGATTTTATTTATATCGGGTTGAGAAGGTCAAGGTCTCTGAAGGTTAAAGTGTACAAACTTGTGATGCATTTTAACCAGCTGCTTTGATTAATTTTATGTTAGATAAATTTAACTAATCTAACTTTTCTAAAGACAAAAAAAAAATGGGTTTGTGTGACTTTTTGTGGAGCGTCCCATCTGTGTGTTGATTGTTCAGTCGGTGAACAGAGATGAGAGACGGAGAGCAGACGCCGTCCTCCTGTGCGTCTCTGTGTCATTCATCTGTGAGACGAGAGACAGACGAGCCGCTCATGTCCGAGGGGCGGGACACACAGCTGTCAATCACTTCACAGATAGCAGAGTTTACTTTTCCAGTTTGGCGTTGGCGCTGCTGTCCTGCGGCTCAGGCTGACAGCTGAGATCAGCACGACTTTATCTTTCTCTGCTTTTGTCTCACAGACTCACACATACTTTCATTTTGAAAGTTTCAACTTTTTAAGAGGCACGGGGGTGGACTTTAATCTTTGGAATCCAAAGGGGAGGGGCTTGATATGTACATTTCCTTTTATATGTATAGGAGAATGTTGTCATTTTAGTAGGAGCATCACATTTTTTTAAATAACTAGTTTGTTTGTTTTGAGACCATGAGTGGTACTTTTTACCCAGGGTTATTATTATGAACTAAAATAAACCATTAAAAAACTTTTTCATTACTTCGGAAAAAAAAATAAAACATTAACCAATAATAATAATAATAATACAATTTTTCAATTCAATTCAAGTTTATTTGTATAGCGCTTTTCGCGATACAAATTGTTGCAAAGCAACTTTACAGCAAATTAAGTTTCTACAATATTTAGTGGTAGCTTATCAGTGGTGACTGTCAGTTAATGTACATATGGCAGAAATGTACGGAAAAATCAATTAAAGATGTAATCAAACAGACGATGAACACTATTAACACAATTATTATATGATGCATATAATAATTATGCAAAACTAAAAAAAAAAACATTTGTATTGTTTAACTTGATGCGCTAAAATAACTAAAACATAACAAAATAACTAAAACTTTCATATTTTAATGAAAACAGTAAAAAAAACATTTATATATATGAGGTGTTTTGGTGTTGAACTTTCAGCATCCGCACTGACCTGCAGCTGGTGCAGCAGAATATGGGCTACTGTCCGCAGTTCGATGCGATCGATGAGCTTCTGACGGGACGAGAACACTTGGAGTTCTACGCGCGACTCCGCGGGGTTCCCCAAAAAGAGGTTTCCATGGTAACGCAGCCTGTATTTTATAGACCCTTGATCTTTCTGTCTGAAACTCACTCTCTGTCTAAGGTGTGTGTGTGTGTGTGTGTGTGTGTGTGTGTGTGTGTGTGTGTGTGTGTGTAAATAATTTCAGTGATAAAATTAATTTTAAATTAATCATTTCATCTTAGTTTTAGTATTCAATAGTAACCCTGACACTCTCACACACACACACACACACACACACACACACACTCTCACACACTCACACACACACATGTCTGGTTTGCTATCCTTGTGGGGACTCTCCATAGGCGTAATGGTTTTTCTACTGTACAGACCGTATATTTATATATATATAAGCAGTTGTTTGACTATATTTATTTGATCATATTATTTATTTATTTATTTTGTCCATTTAGGTTTTTTAATGCTTTTCAGAGACCAATAATTAAAACTGGTCATTAAAACAGCAAACAGCAACAACAACAACAACAAAATAAATGAATAAACAAACAAACAAACAAACAAACAAATACCTGTTTTTAATGCAGTACAGTACAACAATAAAAGCTTCAGCTATTATCGAGATATGAAAATGTGATGCCCGTTTGCAGGTTGTGTTGATTGTTCTTTCGCACTGATTAATGTTTCTTCACACCCACAGAAATAATTATATGACTCTGGAGACTCAGACGCTTTTCAGTTTGGCTGGTGTGAGCGCTAACAGTGTAAACACGTCTAACAGCAGAATATAAATAAAACAGACCGATTTGAGCTCCAAACTGAAGTCTGCTGCTGCTGCTCTCGTCTGAGCTATTGGTGCATTCAAGTCATGCCGGAAAGATCGTATTTACGAGTTAATACATGAATGTGACCACAGAGTCACTATTACAGATTGGAAATAGCATGTGCATGTCAGTGAGAAAACATGCCAGACACAATAAATGCAGCATCTGTATTAATGGCAAATTTGCAATGCAATTATCTAAGTTGCATGTACAAAATACCTTAGTATTGTGCAGTGATGATAGAATACATAATTCAGTTTACGGCACCGTAATAAACTGAATAAAAATATAAAAACAGATCACATTATTTATTCGTTATTTTGTAAATGTATAGTAAAAAATCTCAAAGTTCAATTTTATGCAGAAAAGGTGCGTTGCAATCCTGCGCCGACCAAAGTGACTTGAATCAGGGTTATTAGAGTTAACTAAAAATACAATTATTCACACTTAAAATAAATTTTAACTGTGTAACAAAAACTTGTTTTAGCAGTTGATGTCTTAAAATAATTTAAGCCAAAACTGAAATGATAATTAATAAAACAGTATTAATTTATATTGTTAATATTCAAATATTAATATTTTAATATTTTGTTTTTTTATTAATTTCGTTTTTGTAATTTTATTGTGGTTTGTATTTTTTTTAAATGTCTATATAGTTTTTATTAATTATTATTTCAGTTTTGTTTTTTACTTATTTTAGTACATTCAATTAAACTACATGAAAATAAGAATGGTATTAGTTAACTATAACAACCCTGATTTAAAAAAAATCTATATAGACACATTAAAAAAATATATAATAATAATAATAATAATAATAATAATAAAATGAAAAACAC